TTTTGAAAAAAAAGTTTAAAGCCCCTAAACAGGATCATGTACATTTGTCAGGAGATACCAATTCCTGGAGAGGGACATATGCTTGATATAGTAGCAGGTCATAAAAAAAAATTTTTTTTAAAGAGGAGGAAAACCCTCAAGGAGATGGATGCCTTGGCTGCAAAATGGGCTCAAATGTAGCAACAAGTGTGAGGCTGGCACTGGCTAGCAGTGTCTTCCGCTCTGCGAGTCAAAAGCAGCTCAGTTCCAGAAGAATAACAACAAACAAGATCATGTTGGCAATGTTAAAGCTTTTGGATGTCATTCTGAGGGTAATGAGAAATTGTTGAAAGATTTTAAGCTTGAAGAGATGTTCAATTTTCCATTTTCAAAGCTCACCCAGGCTCCTGCGTCAGGAGTAGTCTGAAGTGGGATACCAGTTAGGAGGCAGATGTAGGAGTCTGGGGAAGATGGTTTTACTAGAGTGGAAGCTCTAAAAGGACAAGGATGTGTGTGCACTGTGGTATCCCTGGCACTTAGGAAAGTACCTGTGTGCAGCATGCACTCCATCCATCTGTGTTGAATGGATGACTGACGGGTTGGGATGCGACACATTGTGGAGATGACAGAAAGTTACTCAGGATATAGACCTGGAAGGATTTGATGATTGGATATTGGAGTGAGGAGGATGAGGTCTCAGGGATAGATGCCTCTGGCTTGAGAAAAGGAACCCAGGAGGAACATAGGGTTTAGGCATGAAGATCATGAGTTCTGTCTTGGATGTGTGGAGGTTATTAAAGTGTCTGAGATACTGTTTGAGGGCAAACATCCCATAGGTGGTCGTGGTTGCCAGGTGCCATCAATTCGGTTCCAACTCATAGCCACCCTGTGTATGCCACTGTGCAGTCCTGCACCATCGTCATAAATGCTCCTGTGTTTGAGCCCGTTGCTGCAGCATCTTGTTAAAGGCCTTCTCCTTTTCACTGCCCTTTTACTAGTTAAATATGATGCTTGCCTGGGACGTGGTAGGCACCTAATAAATAATTATTCAGTAAGCAAATACCACTGGGCATATCTGCAGTGGAGAATTTTAAAATCTAGTTACAGTGAGATTACCCGTGGAGATAAGGGACACCATTGATTTGAAGGTTGTGGAAAGGGGATGTAATAGGCTAGAGAATAGACAGTTAATAACCTGGGTGAAGGGGAAGATAATATCCTTCAAGAGGGAGATGGGAAGAATAAGGGAGGAATAGAAATAGGGAAAACTTTGATAGGTTTAGGAGGTTTGATAAGTTGTTTTAAGTTATTGAATACAAAATGATGATCCAAGATATAAATCCACACCTAATTCACAATAAGAAAATGGAAAGAAAAAAACTTATGCATGTCCATCTAAGATCGGTCTCTTCCTGTTGGGGCAAAGAAGTGAAGAAATCAAAGACCCAGGGAAACAATTAGTCCAAAAGACCATATGAGCCACAGCTTCCATTAGCCTGAGACCAGAAGAACTAGATGGTACCTGGCTACCACTCTCGGCTACCTTGATTGGGATTACAAGGTCCTGGACAGAATGGGAGAAAAATGTAAAAACTCAAAATCATAAAAAAGACAAGACTTACTGGTCTGATTGAGACGTTGCAACCCTGAGAGTATAGCCCTTAGACAGCCCTTAAACCCAGAACAAAGTACCTCCGGGAGATTACCTTTTAACCAAACAATAGACAGGCCTATAAAGTGAACAAAGTTCTGTCGCTCAGGACCATCAATCATTGAACACCAAACAGGCAGCATTTGCACAACAAAGTTCAGAAGGCAAGAAAGAAGGGGAAATGCAAAGCCCAGGGAGGAAATGAAAAGAATGCTATTGAAGGACTTGCAACTGATGGCATGAAACAAAATGTGTATAAAGAATTAAATAGGAAACTAACCATTTCACTCAAACTACAATAAAATGTTCAAACAAAGAAATTAGAAGGTGAAATAAATATGTGCTTAGGCAGACAAAACCCCACCACTAGTAGACTCAGAGTAGGGGGACTTTCAGAGAATAATCTTCAGTGATGATGAAAGACTCTATTGGGCACATTGAACATCAGGACTAAGACCAGAGATGTGGGGGTGACGTCAAGGGCTTCATCGGACACGAAGGAAACGGAAGGTCATTTAAAAGGATAGCAGGGGACCGAGCTAAAGAATATGGATGTCAGAAGAAACTGGAAGTTGCCCCTGGCAGGACATCTCTGCCGCAAATGGGAAAAATGAAGTCAGAAGAGTTGAAAGGGCAGCTCCAGCAGAAGTAAAGTTGATAATGAAATGTGCGAAGACCTGAATCGGACGACCAGAAGGCAAGAACACACTTGGCATTTCTCAAGCTGAAAGAACCGAAGGAAAAATTCAAGCCCTGAGTTGAAATATTGAAGAATTTTATCCTATGGATGAAATACTGAGTAGGAAGCATCAAAAGAATGAAAGGGAGTACACAGAAACCCTGCACCAAAAGATCGACCAACATTCAACCAATTCAAGAGGCAGCATCAAAGGAAGACGGTACAGCTGCTCTGAAGTCACTGGTAAAAACCCAGGCTCCAGGAATTGATGTAATACCAGTCAAACTGTTTCAATGAATAGGTGCAGCAGTGGACACACCTACTCTTCTGGGCCTGGACATTTTGAAGCTGGCTAATAGTTGGCCACTGGACGAGCTCCATATTGTGCCCATTACAAAGAAAGGTGATCCAACAGTGCAGAAATAGCAAACAATCCAGTTAATATCACACTCATAAAGTATGGATGCTAATTTTAAAATGGCGGCAACAATGTATCAATCGGGAACTGGCCGAAATTCAAGCCAGATTCAGAAAACATGGAATGAGAATGAGGGGTGTCAACGTGGATAGCAGGTGGGTCTTAGCTGCAAACAGGAATAAGCAAAGCATACCTTAGTCCTCAAGCAACATCTTTCTTAGCAATTGTCATTCGGTGTGATTGTGTCTTTGCTTTTGTCAGTGTCTGTCACTTGATTCTAAATTCCATGAGGTAAAGGACCATGCCCCGCTTTCTTCACTACCGTGTCTGCACGGCTGGATATGTAATAGGTGCCCATAGTATAATTGCCTCAAACTTGGGGGGTGGGGGGGGACTTGCATATTTTACCTCTGTTAAGTGGAAAACAGAACTGTGGTTCATTCATACAATTGAATACTACGTAGTGATAAAGGTCAACTGCTGTCAAAGGCTACATACTGCATGGTTCCCCGTAAATAAGGCACATAAGGGAATTTGGGGGAGGAGTGATGGAACAGTTCTAGATAATGATACTGCAATGGTTAAACACCTGTATGTTCTTGTCAAACTCATAGAACTGTACTTTTACATGGATAACATTTATTTAAATTATACCTATTTTTTTCATGGTCATAACATAAAAACGTTTTATTCTTTTTTAGTAATTTATGTTTGGTCTTCCCATTTTGGTGTGAAAGAGTCGAATGTTCTTGTGATCTTTAGCCTTTCCAGGAAGTTGGTGTTAGCTAGCTCGCTAATGAAGTGAGTAACCTTTCATGACTGTTTATGAAGAAGAGAGGTCAGCTGTTCATCTGAGAAGGTCATTTTCTTATTCTGGCCAAGGAAGGTATACTCCTGAAATAGAAAGCCAGAAGAAGAAAACATATTTTGAACAGTTTAGTATTTTAAAATCTGGCTTGACACTTGACTTACCATTGTATGGCCACTCTTATTGTTGATGAATACTACCACCAGGATTTATTAGTTTAGCTTGTCTTTTTTTTTTTTTTTGACAGTCGTGTTTTAGATCACTGATAGAATTCGGAGCCAGGATTCTCATTGGAATCCTGGCTCTGCCCTATGAGGGAGCTTTCCAAAGTTCATGACAGAATTGAACTAAGAGATAATGACACTTTTCTATGACGTTTTTGAAGCCACCTTGTATGCTATCTTGGGTGAGCTGCTTAACTTCCCTGTGCTTCAGTTTCTATATCTTTAAATAGGGATGTTAACAGTGCCCAACTTATAAAGTCAGGCGAGGTGACCTTTTGCTGCTGTTCTGATTGAGTCATGGAGTAGAAGAGCAGTAAAGAGGCTAGGGCTGACAGAACAAACCCTGGCTCTTGTTGGAGTTCTAGCCCTGGTGGTTAAGGAGGTTTAGTGGGCACAGTGGTTGCATGTTGTGGTGACAACCACAAGGCCAGCAGTTTGAAACCACCAGCTACTCCTTGGGAGAAAAGCCGCCTTGGAAGCCCAGTTTTGGTCCCGGTGAATGTTTTGGGCACCTCTGTACCACCACGCACAATCTCACTTTAAATCGCCTGTGTTGGATTTGTCAAATTAGGATTCTGACATTGTGACCAGCCCACGCACTGCTTGTTGTCACACCCTGCGTTCCCACTGCCATAGAATTGATTCTGACTCACAGGGACCCTACATAACAGAGTAGAACTGGCCCTGTAACTGACTGTAACTCTTTGGGGGAGTAGAAAACCTCATTTTTCACCCTTGGAGCGGCTGGTGGTTTTAAACTTGTGGCTAGCAGCCTACTATGTAACCTACTATGGTACCAGAGTTCCTTCACCCTGGAGTAAATACCAGACTTAGCTAAATCTGTGTTTACTAGTTTGAGTATTCAAAATGTAAAGTGACCTCAACAATCTAGTCTGCAGTGAAGTCAACTTGTTCAAGAGAGTCTGCAAATGCTCATTTGACCGTGAACTATACTGAGAAGGGTGTTGGGAGTACTCATGGCTATTCTCAGTCCTTGAGATCGACACTGCAGCTTAGAAGGAAGAAATGGTAAATGATTAAGGATAACCTGCGCTTAGTCACTTTCCCATTTCAGACATACACAAAATGGTCTTGTACACATTATTAACGTTCCCATGATGATGCCCTTTGGTGGAGAGCACAGATACATGGAAGGGGTCTAGGCACAGTGGGTATTTTACTGTTTTTGGATATTCTTTCTCTGTTGAACAAAGCTCACGTGACTATTTCTACCCTGCTAGGAACTCTTGTCCTTGGCCAAACGGAAGCGCAGTGACTCTGAGGAGAAGGAGCCGCCTGTGAGTCAGCCCGCAGCCTCCTCAGACTCTGAGACTTCGGACAGTGATGATGAGGTGGGTGTGGATGGGCTCGCCTTGTGGAACGGACAGGGATATGAGGGTCTAGAAGATTATAACCACGGAAGACCTATAGTTAAGAACATGTTAGGAAAAGAAAAGTATGCAAAGAAAGCTCCTGATTTTTTACATTGTTCCTGTAGTTACCTGGTGGGTGGCCCGGAATGTCATTCAGGGCCATTTGTTAGTCTCTTGTTTTGAACTCTGTTGTAGAAAGTATACAACTAATTAGTTATCTTTCTTAGTCCCAGTGTTTTCGCTTGTTGGAAAAGAAAGTCAGTTAAGAATGCTGTATTCTCTCTTGAGACAGAAAACTTTTCATGTGGAGCTTGCCTTGTCATTGCTCAGAGTGATGGTATTAACTTGCGGCATCTGAACCAGAGTTTCCAAACTGATGTGGCCGACCACGCCCTTTTCAGAAAAGAAATTGCTCCGCATCCCTCTGTCAATTAAAAACTTTTGTGCTGTAGCCCATAACCCAAGATAAAGTGTGCATATCCGCTTTCCCAGGCCCCCTGGATTGGTCCAGCAAGCCTCTCCTCCCCCTGGCAATATCATACATCCGTTTTGTAAAGCCCTGGTGGTTTTTGCAAAACTAAAGTGGTTTTCTTAAACCTCTCACCAACAAAGCAAGATCCTAAAAGTTTCAGAGCTGCAAAGAAGGAAAGGATAAAGGAGAAGATGTGTGAAACACTTCTGTGTGTTTCTCATTTGATTCAAAATGTACTACAAGGAACTATATGTGACCTCCTCCCTGGGGGACAGACAACTGAAAAGTGGGTGGAGGGAGACGTCGGACAGGGCAAGATATGACAAAATACCAATTTATAAACTATCAAGAGCTCATGAGGGAGGGGGGAGCGGGGAGGGAGGGAAAAAATGAGGACCTAATGCCAGGGGTTTAAGTGGAGAGAAAATGTTTTTAGAATGATGTACAAATGTGCTTTACACAATTGATGTGTGTATGGATTGTGATAACAGTTGTATGAGCCCCTAATAAAATGTTTTTAAAAAATAAATAAATTAAAAAAACAAAAACAAAATGTACTTTTTCCTCTTTCTTGCTTTTTAGAGAGGTCAGAGGACAACTTTGTATGATTCTCTTACTTTGTAGTCTAAGAAAATCTTTAAGTTCCACTAAGTGAAAACTGTATTGAAGTGAGATGTCGTTAACAACTCCAACAGGATATATCAGTGCCTCTGCTGCGTTCTGGTTGGGTGTAGTGGTGTCCACTCAGGCTTTAACCTACAGTGGCTTTGCACAGCAAGAGGTAGGGCATATGATGTCCGTTCTGTCCCTTTCTTTGCTTTCTTTCTAATGGAGGACCCTTCATTTTCCCTCAAACTGGTAAAAGCATCAGTCTCTTAGAAAAGCACCAAAGCATTTACTCTTTTGTTTTTCTGTTGGTACTTTGCTTATTTGTTAATTGCGTAGACAATAAAAGAAAATCTTGAAATAATTCCCTCTCCCATTATTCCTACATCAGCTACTTTTGTGTTACATGTTTTAAAACTGGGCTACTGTTGTTATTTTCCCCGGTCCTCTATTACGTTTGGATTGTCTCTGGAATGTGTTATAAAATGTTTATGATGACAGCAGTTTCTTAAGCACTAACTATCCTTTGACATGCTCCATTTTCCACATTCTTTTCATCAGGTCTGAGTCTGAAGTGTACATTTGTTCCCTTCATTCCCCTTTGCTATTTCCACCAGGAGGATAAACTCCACTCTCCAGCATCAGCGGATCCAGCACCCATGAAACCTCTGTGGATGCTGAACAGTCCCTTTGTCACTTATCAGACAACTACTTAACCAAGTTGAAACCTCCCCCCACCCCCCTTCAAAGACAACCCAACTCTCTGTGCAGGTACTGAAGAAAAAGCTGATAAGGCGAGCCAAGTACCTTGCCCAATGGGGAATGAGCCTTTGAATGAGTTAACCTAGTAGGTCCTTAGCTCCTGCTTCCTCCAGGTTCCAGCCCAGCACACCTATAAGCTTGTTACAGCTCTGCTTCCATCTTCTCCCATCCCTCCCCTCTAGAGATGACAACCAGCCCAGTTGCCGCTGAGTTGATTCCACCTCAAAATCTAATAAGGGTCAGAATACAACTGTGCACCCTGGGATGGTCATGGCTGATTTTTTTGGACTTAGATAGTCAGGCCTGTGTTCCTCTGAGTGGTCTTGAACCTCCAAACTCTTCGTTAGTGACTGAGTGCATTAATCAGTGATTGCCCACTGAGCATGCCAGCCGCTGTGTCTTGGTCTGTCTGGAAGGTGTCAGTTCTTTGCTCTATATCATCAGTATGTGACCCAGGCTACTATAATATTCATTCCAAAAAAGCCACTGCCATCAAGTTAATTTTGATGCATAGCGACCTTATTGAACAGGGTAGAATTGTCCCTGTTGGTTTCTGAGGCTGTAACTCTTTATGGGAGTAGAAAGCCTAGTCTTTTTTTGGTGGTTTTGAACTGCTGACCTCATGGGTTAGCAACCCAACCCATAACCACAACACCAGAGCTCCTTTACCACAGAGCATCTCAAAATTAAGAAAATACTATTATTGTATACCATTAAGAAAATAACTACTAAATCCTTATTTTAAAGTCTCACCAACCACTAGAATAGCGGTTCTCAACCTGTGGGTCACGACCCCTCTGGGAGTTGAACAGCCCTTTCACAGGAGTCGCCTAAGACCACCGGAAAACACATAAATATTTCACAATATATAATTACATATTGTTTTGTGATTAATCACTATGCTTTATGTTTAATTGTGTCTAATTTGTAACAATGACAGTATATCCTGCATATTAGATATTTACATTATGATTCATAACAGTAGCAAAATTACAGTTATGAAGTAGCAACAAAATAATTTTTTGGTTGGGGGTCACCACAGCATGAGGAACTGTATTGAAGGGTCATGGCATGAGGAAGGTTGAGAACCCCTGCCCTAGAGCATTGAGTGGTGTTACTAGAAACTCTGATTTATGACTGCCATAGAGATTTTTTACAATGGTTAGAGAACTTCTGGGAGGCCCTTACCTGTTGCCTATTGTGGAGTCAAATACAACTCGAAGACACCCTGTAAGACAGGCTGGAACTGCTCAGTTGGGTTTCCATGGCTGCAGTCATTACAGAGGCAGACTGCCACATCTTTTTCTCGTGAAGTAGTTGGTGGGTTGGAATCACTGGCCTCTTTCTTTCAGTTAGCTAGAGAGTGCTTCACCACTCTGCCACCAGGGCTCCATGAGAGAGAATTCCAGACTCGGGCTCTTGATTTGCACTACTCCCGTAGTGCATTGCCTGTACCTTTCCGTGTGTAAGCCCTGTTTGCTAAAGTCATTTGCTGTATCTTTATTATCTCCCAGCCAGCTTTCTAATCATTTGGCTGTGAAAGTAGCAGTCCTCAGTCAGGTGGAGCTGGCTTGTCCAGAAGTTACTTAGGAGTTTTTAAAAATACCTCCCAAACCTTCTCATCTTCCTCCTCCCTTGAAGTTTATTGTCATCAGTGAGCCATCACCACAGCTGTTGACCTCTGAGATTTACTGGAACAGAAAACTGGTCAAAAGCAACTGAGTTACAAGATTAATTGATGCTTTGTTTTGTTAAATCATTTTATTGGGGACTCGTACAGCTCTTAATACAGTCCATACATCCATCCATTGTGTCATGCACATTTGTACATATGTTGCCATCATCATTTTCAAAACATCTTCTTTCTACTGGAGCCCTTGATATCCGTTCATTCCCCCCTAGGTGGTTTGTTTGAAGGAGAGACGGGTACATTGCTTTTGGACCTCGTGCTTCTCCTGCAGAGTGGCTGGTGGGTTTGAAATGCTGACCTAGTGGTTAGCAGCCCAGTGCTAAACCCACTGTGCCACTAGGGCTTTCCTAAAAATATGGAGTTCAGCCAGCTATTTAAGAAGGAAGCGGGAATCCAGGACGGATGAGCCCTATAGGACCAGTGGTGTGAGTGGCAAAACAGGGAGGGTAAAGGGAGAATGGGTAGGAAAGAGGGAACCGATTACATGGAACTGTGTGTGACCTCCTCCCTGGGGGACAGACAACCGAAAAGTGGGTGAAGGGAGACGTCGGACAGGGCAAGATATGACAAAATACCCATTTATAAACTATCAAGGGCTGATGAGGGAGGGGGGAGCGGGGAGGGAGGGGAAAAATGAGGATCTAATGTCAGGGGTTTAAGTGGAGAGAAAATGTTTTGAGAAACGATGTACAAATGCGCTTTACACAATTGATGTGTGTATGGATTGGGATAACAGTTGTATGAGTCCCTAATAAAAGGCCAAAAATAAATAAATAAATAAATAGATAAATAAAAGCAAAAAAAAAAGGAAGCCTCGAATTTCACTTGCTACCAGTAAACAACTAATTGAATATGAAAGAAACCCTTTTGGGGGTTGTTGAAAATTACGTATTTCTACATTTGACAAGATGTAGAAATAACTTTGGCAGGTTCTATCCCATACTCTCTGCCTACATGAGGATTATTTATTTTTTACACAATTTTTAAAAGAGCACTTATTTCTAATGTAATGTTGCAGAAACACTGCAAACCCGCAGCAACCCTGTAGGATAGACTAGAACTGCTCCTTAGGTTTTCCCAGCAAGGGCCTCATCTCTCCCACGTGGAGCCCTTGGTGGTTTGAAGCACCAGCCTCTCGGCTAGCCTTAGAGTGCTTAACCCACTGTGCCACCTGGGGTCCCTGAAAATACTTCAGGAGAGGAAACATTATACACTGCCAGCCACCTTGGCTGGACTGGTTACTTTACCGAGGTCTCACCACCCCACCTGGCAGTTCAACCTGGACAACCAGCAGCCTGAAGACCGCGTTTGGCCTCTTCAATTTTGCTTCAGTTTCTGTCTGTGCCACCATCCAACCCTGCCTCTTTCTCAGAGCATCAATGTCGGCCTCCTCTCGGTGGTTTCCCGTCACCTACCAAGGGTTATTATTTTCAAAGTTTCCTGTCCAGT